AATTATTACCAGCTAAAAGATTGGAAGACAACAAAAAAAATTAAAACTTAATAAGATATAAAGATAAAAATACAAATCACAAAACTGAATTCATGCAAGAAAAAAAGCCTAGTAACAATAAAAGAACAACAATTGGAGCAAAATACAAATAAATATAATAAAGCAAAAAAAAAAAAGGTGCCAAAGGTTAACAACAAAGAATGTTTATAAGTAATGTCATTATGAAGCGAACACAAGTGCAGCTAAATAACACTTCCTCAACAGTATTAACATCAATCAAATTAGGTTCTGAAACATTTATTGTATATAGTTCAACGATAGAAACTCGTTTAGACACTAAAGAATTTTTTTAGTGCTACATGAACGAATATGGAGAACAAAATCGCTAATTTTTATCGATGGGGCCATAGAAACAACAAAGAAAATCTTTTTACCAAGAGAAAAAAATAATTATAAAGCTTGAAAATTTTACAAATCTACAGCTACTAGTCAACAGTGAAAACAACAAAAAACGAGTAGCAAGTAATAAATGCATTAGCATCTGCGAAAACAGGACTACTCGGTAGCACCAAATATAGCAGAATCTTGCCGGATTTTTATTCAGTGTGCTGGTATACTTGCGTTAACTTTCCACGTCAGTCGTTGTGACACTGCAAAGCAGCCATTTAGACGCTCTCTCTGTCTGTTTGTGTTGTGCTATGCAACTGTTGGAAAATTGCCAACAAATGGTACACACTGCAAGCTTCATTCATTGTTCAATAAATTTATTATCTGTGAAGGCACACTGACAAGTTTAGGCAGTAACCATTTCAGCCAAAAAGCAGATCAGAATCCGTAACTCCGAAACCAGCAGTCACTTCATATTATTGTTCCTGCCAGTATCACATAAAAATCCAGTATTGTAACAAAGTCTACAGCAAGATAGTTAGTCTATTACTCTGCCAGGTCAAAAGTAACATTAACAACAGCATCTGTTAATCACTTCTTCACTTAAATTCGTTTCGGGTTGTATACTACAATTGGCTGAAGACCAATTTTCAAGAGATAAGCGGGCATATATAAGGAAATGCATAGTTAATCGGTCAGAGACTGATACATCACCAAAAATCAGCAAATGAAATATGAATACGTGCGCCAACGTCATCTTCCGTTCAAACCGTCTGTAACACATGTACTAAGCTCCCACTCAGGCTACAGTTGCTAACAATTTTTTTCCGCCGTTTAAATAAAGGTTTTTTATGCAGTCAACGATATCAGGGCAAATATTCTGTGTGTCTGAAAGTGCCACCAGAAAAAAAAAATTTTTTTTGCTTGATATTTTTTGAAATACTAAAACATTCACAGTTTCCAATAAAAGTATCCTCTACAGTTATTTGGGTAAATAGCAAAAGCAATCTATTTGACACATATATACATAGCCAGTTATAACAAACAGTCCCCAAATCGATCACTCTCTTCAGTCGACCTCTAAAAATTTTTTCAGTTTTTTGCTGAACGTTAACATTTTTGCCGCTATACGCA